TATGGGCTCCCGGAGGCGATCTACCTGATGGCAACGGTCGCTACTCGCTTAAAACCTCGTGGCACGTGGCACGTGCGATTCCATTTTCCCCGTGTTAAGTCAATGGGGTTTTGGACACTTTTTGCGCGATCGCCAATAGCGGGAAAACTAGCCAAGAAGGAGGTGGTTTTCTTCCCAGCATTTTATGGCAAACACGTTCAGGTACACGCCAGTGTGCGCTGTATACCCCTCAGAATCTCGGAACGTGTCTTTGCACGAGGTCAAAGTTGGAATTTTGCTGTGCCCCATGTTAAGTCAATGGATGGCGATGTCGAGACTTTGCAGAGACATTTTCATTCGATCTTTGTACAAAATTTTAGAGATAGATTTCGCCCAAACTCTTATATCTTGTAGAGGAAAGAGCATAGTACTTGCTGGTATGCTTCGTTAAGGTGGCAAAACTCATTTTTTCTTTTAAAGTTAATTTGAAATTTAAATTTTTTAACATGGAAAGTCAATGGGAGCGTCTTTATTCCTCTATAACTTTTAGCTTTAGTAAGATATATAGGTGAAAAGTTAATATAATATACAACTTTTGATGCTCTTTCCACTGATGCATAGGACGTCACTGCACGATGTGACGTTTTTAAGAAAAGCTGTAAAAAATCAGGGCTCGACTGTGACTTGAACCCAACCACATTAGAGTATACGAACAGGTGACGGCGATACCTCCCGTGTGCGGATGCGACACTGATTATTGCTAAATATTAGCAGTAGGCCGCCTGTGGGGCGCCTTTACAAACCTTATATCTCTGCAACCACTGGACCGATTCACTCGCGGTCTTTTGTGTGGGATAGCTTCTTCCTTTCTTATACGTAGTGTGCTGTTCTCGATGCGTATGGGTGACCCCTAATGCACGTGCCACGTGCAAAACGAAGAGGTGTCAGTTCGGTAACAAGTCTAATAACTCTGTAGTTAGTTTGCCGATTGCGCTGAATGCTGATACTTGGCATGGTTGTAGGCACCTGCCGCGCAATGCATTTCCATGTGTCACGGTTGGGGTGCCGCTGCACGTGCACACGGGCAGGGTGACGCTTCCAGATCTCGAGAACGGCTGGGCCGATTGTGATCAAAGTTGGCACACCGCTAGACGCTGGTAAGTAGGGTGCCGTGCACAAGTCAGATGGGACCCGTTATGCACGTGCGCACGTGCAGGCTGACGCTTCCAGATCTCAAGAACGGCTGGGCCGACTGTGCTCAAATTTGGTATACCGCTAGAGACTGGTTAGTAGGGTGCCGTGCACAAGTCAGTTAGTATGTATTTTCATGTGCCACGGTTGGGGTGCAGCTCCACGAGCGCACGTGTAGGGGTCGCTTCCAGATCTTGAAATTGACGGGGCCGATTGAGCTTCAATTTGGTACACCGCTAGAAACCGGCGAATAGAGTGCCGTGCACAAGTCAATTGGGGCCTAGGCTGCACGTGCGCACGTGCATGGTGTCGCTTCCAGATCTCGAAAACGGCCGGGTCGATTGCACTCAAATTTGGCACACCGCTATAGACCGACGAATAGGGTGCCGTGCACGTCAGTCCGTAGCACACCGACTCCGGTCTGCACGTGCAAGGCTCATCCTCTCGTTTGGTGGCGGGCGTTTTTGCTGCGTTTACAAAGGTGCTTGCTCAAACAACCTGCGGTCCCGCGATGCGGAGCCCGGCATCGCAGATGCCGGTAACCGAAGGTTTGTTGTCAATAGTTAAAACACTATTCTTTAGAATTGTGTTTTTCTATTGAAAAACAAATCTGAGTTCCCTGACAATTTGGCAAAAGCTGCCTGAGATCAGTACAACTTGATGCTCTTGAAAACGGCTGGTCCAAATATTCTGATTTTTTCAGGATTTCTAGTGGGCCAGGTGATCTACGTTCTGGTATGGGTCTCCCCTCCGCGGACCATCTGGTGCACGTGCCACGTGACTTTAAAAATTCCCGTGTTAAGCCAATGGGGAAAATGAAAAAATGCGTTCCACGGCAGATTGCTCGAAAACGATCCAAACGACCCCCCATTTTCTTACATGCAGATCAACCACCATTCGGTGCACTACCCATGGGTATGTCGCAAAGTGGCCGGAAAAGTCCAGAACCACGTGCCACGTGCCGTTGAAAATGACCCTGCACACCGGAAATTGGGACTTTTGGTCATTTCGGCGCACCCATGATGCATACTATGGCGTGGGTGACCAAACAATGGGTGTCATCCGGTCGGCAACTGTTTAAGGTGTCGTCCAGTGGGCCAAAGTGGTAGTTTCAAACTTTTGGGATCCACCACTCTGGGGATTCTTTTTGACAATATACTTACGTTTCTTGGCGCAATGTTCATTCCACCCAGCCGGTCGTCAATGCGTTAGATGACCCAAATGACGATTGACCTGAAGGAAGTTGGGGGCGAGGAACACGCGCGTGCCATCCGTTTTTTACTCGGGCGCTTTCATCTAGGAGATTTTTGCAGATACGTCAATGCGTTAGATGACCCAAATGACGATTGACCTGAAGGAAGTTGGGGGCGAGGAACACGCACGTGCCATCCGTTTTTTAATCGGGCGCTTTCATCTAGGAGATTTTTGCAGATATCTTTTTGATTTGTGAAAATGACCAGCCTAGCGGTATGCCAGCCGCTGATAAATTATTATCTTGCTGCGGCCGGGCGCTTATTTGCGGTGTTTGCGTTTGGCGGCTGGCGGGCGACTTTTAGTCGTTTTCGGTTAGCAGTTAGCGTCGGTGCGGTGCGGGCGGTTTTATTTTTTTCGGCGTTTCGGCGTTTTTTTCTGTGTGGTTTGCGGCGGTCGGGTGATTTTTTGCCGTTTGCGTTGGCTTTTCGGGCGTGCGTTTTACACGTTTTGCGGTGTTTACGTTTTGCGGCGGGCGGGCGTTTTGTGTTTTTTGCGGTGTTTGTCTTTGGCGGCGGGCGGGCGGGCGGGCGGGCGATGCGGGCGGTTTTCTTCTTTTTTTTGCGTCGTTTGCGGTGTTAAATTTGTTTGCGGTTGGCGGGCGGTTTTATTGTTTTGCGGCGTTTTTGCGTTTTTTATTTGCGGTTTGCGGCGGGCGGGCGTTTGTTTATTTTTTGCGACGTTTGCGTTGGCGTTTCGGGCGTGCGTTTTGCGCGTTTTGCGGTGTTTGCGTTTTCCGGCGGGCGGGCGTTTTTCACAATTCAAAGTCCAAACCTTCGGGCCACAGCGCTCCTCGAAAAGCGCTGCCCTCGAGTATGTTCTGCTTCTGAAGCCTAGGAACGATAAGCCAGACTGCAACGAGACTTTAAATGTAGCTTACATGTATCTTCACCCTTGCAGCTACAACTTTATCTTTTGAAGTCTTCTTTTCAATCAGTCCGCATTTAAAAATCGTCGGTCAAAGCCATCCGTTGAGATTGATAAAACCACACATTACTTTTGCGGTGGGCTGTACCTAGACCTTTTGACTTAAAGGGACCCTCCCACCTTCAAAAAAGTTAATGAATTGGCATGAAAGTGATGTCGCTCGGTTCAGAAAGAGCAAAAACGAATATCTACCAAATTTCATCGAAAAATATTCACCGGTTTTCAAGATATTAGACTTTTACTTTTGTTTACTTTTTGGGATCTCTGCTGTTCCTAGCGACTTTATTTGAAAGTGCGGCATTTGTTGCGCGCAAAGCAGCATATACCACCGCGTGCTACAAAACGTTTTAGTCAAACATTTAACCGACGTTCGAAAGCCTGATGACGTCATCAGACTCCCGTAATGGTTAAGAGTGGTCCCACCCTGCAAGTAAAGGGAAGAAATTTCTTGAACACCGTAAAGCTGCGGGGGTTGCGACCATGATAAATGGTGGTTTCTGAGCCTGGCCGCAAACTTGGCTATCTCAACTCAAAACTAATGTTAAGGTGGGAGGGTCCCTTTAATATCATTACGGAGCGAGCGAAGCGAGCGGAGTCTTACGTAGAATAACGGAAATTTCTGAGTATGAGCGGCCGGCCGGCCGTGCGGACGCTTTTGCGAGGCTTATATCTCAGCAACCACTTGACCGATTTACATGCGGTAATTTTTGTAGGGTAGCTTCATTCCTTCTACCAAGTATTGGACTATTCCCGATGCATGTGGGTGACCCCTTATGCACGTGCCACGTGCAAAACGAAGAGGTGTCACTTTTGTAATTGTTGCAATATCTCGATAACTACTTGGCCGATTGCGCTGAAAGTTGGCATGTAGGTAGGCACCCACTAGGCACTGCATATCCATGTGCCAGAGTTGGGGTGCCGCTGCACGTGCGCACGTGCAGGGGTCGTTTCCAGATCTCGAGAACGGCTCGACCGATTGCGCTCAAATTTGGTACACAGTTAGGGACCGGTTACTAGGGTGCCGTGCACAAGTCAGTTGGGACCCATTTTGCACGTGCGCACGTGCAGGGTGCCGCTTCCAGATCTCGAGAACGGCTGGGCCGATTGTGCCCAAATTTGGCACATCGCTAGAGACCAGTCAGTAGGGTGCCGTGCACATGTCAGTTGGAGGTACCCCCTCGAAATTTCGCACGTGCAAGACTCACCCCCTCGCTCGCTCCGTTAGTCGCCCCAAAAGGCGCTATACTGGTATTAAATATTCAACAGCGCGCATATTTAAACGATCTCAAAAGATAAAGGTTAAGGATTGCTATTAGTTTTGATAGCGACTGAACCATTTGTGGTATCTGACTAAGTTATTTCAAACACTTTACGTACTACGTAGAGACAGTCACGAAAAGTGGTTGCTCACAATATTACAAGAAATTCTTCCCTTATCGGGTAGTATTCTTCCTGACCCAGGATGCAATTGATTCGGAACAGCCATACTAATTACTAGGCCAATCAATTGTCGATGTCTTCTCTTATCTACTCGGTAATTGATAAATCCCTAGCTGCTTACCTGACTGTTCTTTTATGTACATACACACACCCGAATCTCAACCTGTCAGACAAACAAAAGAAAGCTGCACGACATTCAAATGCATCGCTTCATCGGTAATCAGTTTATTTGCATTTTCCATGTTTTCAGCGTTATTGGAGAAAATAATGATCTTGCACAGTAGCGTTCAATAGAAGTCTGGCGCGTATCTGTAGCTCCTGGGCAGGAAGGGCACGTCCATATAGACGACCCGCCGGTCGATCCTGTTGTAACCGGAGCGAACAGTGCCGAAGCAGCGGTAGACGCCGTGGTCTCTGGTGTCGTGAAGTGGGATGGTGAGGACCGACCTAGAGCACACAGAAATACAGTCAGAGAAAGACGGTAGCAGAGGGAGCAGCTCAGAGACGTATTATAGCAAGTTGTACGTACTGTCCCAAGAAACGGGTCAGACACAAATGGTTTCATTGAGGAGGCAGTGGAGGCTATGATCGTACTGATGAACTGTAGACAATTGTCGGAGGGATCGCTTTACCGAGAAATCATGCTGTATATGTAATTATTTGCAAAAGCAATGGCGATCACGTTAATATCTACAGAAGATACTCGACACTCGACAGAGTACAATGAACAGGCGCCAACAATGGACACATCAACATGCAATGCATGTAGGCACATATCGAACATAAAAGCACCGAAGCAACATTCTGTGGGGAAATAAGGGGGTGCGGGGAAGTGCGTGTATAACGAAAGTCGTCCCCTTAACACCGTTGCACATATATGACGACTATCTCCCTTACTTGTCACGACGTGAGATGACAGTGGGCCTTCCTCTGATGGCCTCTGCTCTCCGGCAGGTGCCGTAGTCATCCAGCTTTATCCAGGCGATATCCTGCGCACGGAACATTCAGCTGTTGCATTCAATGGTCATCCAGTTGACCCAGCCGTATCCACGCACGGCTGTCCTGCCCGCACGGAATTCAGCTGCGTGCCTTACGGGACAGCCAGGACTTGAAGAAATGCTCCGCTTCGCTTCTGTTAATGTATTTACGATGAACTCGGATTCCGAGCTACTTAATATTTTTCACATGACCAAATGGCTCATAATTACTAGGGGAAGTTGGGGCAATGCCGGAGTTGGGGCAAAGCCGAAATTCGAGATATTTCGAAAACCGTAAGACATGGATGCCACCTGTCAGTGATGCTCTGAAGCTTAAGTGACTACAATTATCGCATGTTTGTTACGAGTCGTCATTCGGAATACTTCGACTGTGAGGGCGCCAAGAGCGTTTTCAAGGTACGTTTCCCTTGTACTACATGCGCCTTTGAAGCTGCATTTTTTACTCATTATGCTACCGTTTGTCTGGTCAATTCGGTCAAGTAATCTTTAGCATGTCTTTGCATAAGTGTGCTGCCTATTTGAAATTTATACAGCACGTTGAAAAGTTATGGGCCTGCAAATGAAAGTATGGCTGGCTGGGGTAATGCCGAAAACGTGCGATTACGCACGTGTTAAAAGCACGCTACCTGGACTTTACTGCTGTAGAATAGCAACGCGTATTTTTAGTCACACAAATTACACTTTCAACCGACACAACGGCCTGTTACCTATAAGGAATGATTTACCTGGCATTTTCTTATTATATCACATAATTATAACTTCCAGTGTGCACCGTGTCCTCAAGCTCTTGAAACGTGTGTCAGCTTTGATGAATTCTGGATAAAGTTTGAGATAAAATGGCAAAACATCAATGTCGGCATTCCCCGTAGATCATTTCTCCCATTTTCGGCTTTCCCCGCAGTCCGGGGCAACGCCGAAAAAGTCACTTCTTTGATATTTTTAGTTTGTGCGCTTAACGGTATGCGAATTCATCAAATGCGCCTGGTATGTTTGAAAGGCAAAAGACTGGCCTCTCGAATGACGCCAACAAGAATAGCGTATGTTGTCTACCTTGCGTGCTACGGGCGTCAGAAAAAAAGTCTTCGGCGTTCCCCCAACTTCCCCTAAATGTCGTATTTAACCTCCAAAAATAATCATAATCCTTTGTATACTCTTGCAAACTTGAATGAACAAATGAAGGTAATAATGTACGTGCTTTGCATTTATAAACCCACATCAACAATTTGAGGCAAAATGCAACAGTGCTGGCACATTTTCTTATCTACCATACAGCCACATGTTTTGCATAACCTACCTAACAGAACAAAGCTAAATAAAGTTTAAAAGTCGTTCATAGTCCGACTCAAAGTTTTTTCTCTCGAAAGCTCACCATGGTTATATCTGCCAAAGCTTATCACAAGGAACCAATTTCTATTTTTATGAGACGTGCCACTTTGAAGCGCTAGAGCCATCCGCTCTTACCGTCACTCTATCGTAGCTCCTGGATCTCCTGAAGTCACAGACCAGCTCCACCTGACGGTTGTACGACCTCTCGCCGGCCAGGTTATAGTAGCCATTGCCGACGTATCTCCCCTCGCAGGGCTCGTAGCCGAAGTCCAGCACGCCTCGCCTCACTGCGCTGGCCAGCAGGAACAAGCTCGCCACCGACAGTAGCCGTAGCATGGTCGGTGCGACCCCGGGATCGTATCTGGGAACGATCAGAACCTTCTCCGGTGGACCGGCCCAGGCCCGGCCACGGCTGGCTGCTGAATGACAGCGTCGGGGCTAGGTGTCCTGAGAAATAGGCACGTGCCTCGTGGTGCGTGCAAGTGCTGTGAGGCCGCTGAGCTATGACCTTGCCATTGTAAACATGGCGGCTGAGGGGCATTAGGGCGGTGCGCCAGGGGCCCACAGGCTTGACGACCATTAAATATAGCACAGAGTCAGCCCTTAAACGTGCAACGTGTCCGTCTAGCTTGGTTTCCTCGGCAATGCATCACAGCTATACTGGACAATTATCTCTAGCTCTACGCCCTAGACTCCTAGCTATAATCCTTTTTTGTCGAATTCTTCTCCTATGCCTGATAGCATTCGCTCTTGCTATTTGTCACAACCAGGTATTTAAACCCTGCTTGGAAACATCATGTTGTTGTCCACTACTGACCCCGAAAATCATAAGATACAGCTAACCTCTAACTGAAACTCTGCCGACAATCGGATGGCCTTGTTTCCCGTTATGACACGTGTGTTTTGTTCTCGCTACTCCAGGCGTTGAACACACCAGTCAAACTCCGCTGGAAGTGAGCCTTTTAGTTACCATCACAATAGGTCCTGGCCCCGCATACCAGACAGCGTGTATTGTTTCCGAGACCTTACAGAGGACAGTTAGGGGCCATGCAGATGCCCCGACTGTTTACCCTGCTCCTGTCCGTGCAGTGGTGTGGTGTGTCCGCCACCGAGCAAGGTCGCGCTCATTATCGGGCACCTTCACGTCTGAGGAGCGCTGGCTTCGCGGGCCTATTCGGCGACACGGCTGGCGGCCTCTGATTACAATGTGCTGAGCACGACCCACCGGCCGCCGCCTACTTGTACCGCCACCTCGCACCGGACAAGGCATTTAGCTGTCGGCTGTCGTCGTACTCAGGTAGTGACGCTCAGCGGCAGGAAAGGTGGAGCTGGTAGGATTTGAACCCACGACCTCGCCATGATCCGGCCGGTGGTTATTGTTTGCTCCCTCTTGCTTACCCTGTCGTACGGGCGGCCGTATTTCGACTACGACGCCTGCGAGGGAGAAAACGTCGGCAGAGGCTACTACAACCTGGCCGGGGAAAGGAGCTACAATCGCAACGTCGAACTGATCTGCGACTTCAAAAGAGAAATGGGCTACGACTATGACAGAGTTATGGTAAGATAATACGCGACGTGCTCAAAGTATGCATTGAAAAAATTCAGTCTATATAAGACTAAAAACACAATTAATGGTTAGCTTATGCTAGTTCCAATTTGGAATCTAGCTAAATTCACATGGATTAATCACATTTTTATTGAACCACAGCTGCTGGCTTCTACCGAATTTATGCTTTTACGCTTATCACCAAAGCAAATCCTCAGGTGTTGATAATTAATTACCATTCTTTCTCGTGCAGGACATTGCGTGGATCAAGCTGGGTGATGGAGGTCGGTGCTCGAGAGCGGAGGCCATCCGGGGGGACATCGACGTCAACTCCTTGGACGGCAGGTGAGGGTCACTCCTTACCGTCTATAATCATGGCTCAGTGTTGAACTGAACTGTCGAGAAAGCATCGTTTAAATTCGTTCCAGTTAGCACATTATGCATAAGCTCGACGTACTTCTTGTCGGGTTCCGGAACTTAGACTGATGATCACGCCCCAGAAAGCTGTAAGCCTGTTGGACCGAGAACTGGGCCTTAATTTTCGGTTCCTTGTTATAACCAAAGCTAACTCCTCTTCACGTCTGGCAGGTCGGTGCTCACCATACCCAGATACGACGACCGGGACTACGGTGTCTACCGCTGCTTCGGCACCGTGCGACAGAGCTACAGAAACCTGGGGCGCTACCGCGGTCAGAGCGACCACGTCTTCATGGACGTGATGTTCATGCCGGACGACTTCAGCGGCAGCTCCAGATATGGTCGGTCGTCCAGATATGGTCGGTCGCGGTATCGTTACTGAGGACTGAGGAGACATGTGGCTCCATGTGGCACTCGAGCGTTGAAAGTTGCAGACTCAGAAACGAAGGTGTATTTGCGCATGGTAGCAGAGACAAAAGTGAGATGAAGATTTGTATTACGACATGAAACGATCATGTGACAATTATGAAGGCGAGCATGGCATTGTTCATGGCATTGAGCTAGGCTCTGAGGGCATTGGAGGTCAGCGTTTGTTTCGTTAGCCAGGCTCAAGGTAGCGCGAGGCTTGTTAGGCCAGTTCTGTCACCCTAAATTACATTACCCAATGTTGGTGATGATGGTACGCTATGGTAGGTAGACCATCTGAAATGAGACTAAACGGGTTGAAGTTAGATAGGCTCCTTCCGCTTTGCACTATTTTTTAAGATTAAGACCAAATAGCCATGCGAATGATATCGATCTTTGCACTGAAACTAGATATATCTACCTTGCTTACATGCATATATCTTTTTGGAAAGTATGCATGCATGTATCTATGTATTAGCGTCATGGGCAATCCACACATGGCATGGCGATTATTTTCACACGATCAGCGACTCCAGTGCTTCGAGCGAAAGCAGCCATAAGTTTTAGGATAAATCTACCTACCTCCTTTGCTTTAATTCTGTGATCTTCTAGGCACTGCCATAAGCACACCATAAGATGTCTGTTTTTTGGGAACATCCGTGATCCTGCGGCACCTTTCCTCACGATCTGTCGCTTGTTAGTCACTGATGAAATAAAAATGTCGCATGTTTGATTAATTTTGCTGTAACTAGCCGTTTTTACGACGGGCTATCCAGCGAGTGCACCTAATTGCACCAAATCTGCACCTAATCTCTTTTACAGCAAATATCTTTATTTTATGAATTTATTTCAGTGTTTTAATCGATGATGCTCTCTATTAATATGACAAAGCAGGTATATAAGCAGTTAGTGCAACCCTAGCTGATAGCTACTAAGAGACACACTGAACCTAATTTGACCAAATCTGCACCTAATCTGCTACAGATGCGCACCAAATGTGTACCAGATGGCCGTCGTGAAAACGGCTACTATCTATTTCCTGCAGAAGCGCAACCAAGGCGGGGGGGGCACACTGGGCATTTGCCCCCCCCCCCCCCGTCAGCTTTGAAGGCGCCCTCGAGGCAAATGCCGCCCCTGCGCACGAAAAGGATTTGCAGGCGCCGAAGGCGCCGCAAATCCTTTTAGAATGTGAGCATGCAGTCTACAAAAGTGTCATGCCGCCCCAGAAAGAACAAGGCCGCCCGCTGAGGTGTTTTACCGCCCTCCACCGGTTTACATGCAGTCCAAAAATGCGTTATGCCGCCTTCCAAAAGAATAATGCCGCCCTCTGAGGTAACATGCCGCCCTCTGTGGTCAGTACGCCGCCCTCCAACGGTTTGCATGCAGGCAATGAAATGGCGTTATGCCGCCCTCAGAAAGAACAATGCCACCTAATGAGGTGTTATGCCGCCCTCTGTGACCGCTATGCCACCCTCTAACGGCTTGCATGCAGTCCACAAAAGATGTTGTGCCCCCTCAGAAAGAACAATGCAGCCCTTTGAGGTGTTATCCCGCCCTCTGTGGTCGATACACTACCCGCTAGCAGCTTGCATGCAGTCCACAAAAGGTATTATGTTGCCCTCAGAAAGAACAATGCCGCCCTCCGAAAGAACATTGCCGCCCCCCCCGTGGTAAGTACGCCGCCCTCTAACGGCTTGCATGCAGGTAACAAAAGGCGTTATTCCGTCCTCAGCCAGAACAATGCCGCCCTCTGTGATGTTATGCCGTCCTCTGGATACGCCGCCCTCTAACTGTTTACATACATTTCACAAAAGGTGTTATGCCGTCCTCAGAATAATGCCGCTCTCTGAGGGGTCATGTCACCCTCCGTGATCAATACGCCGCCTTCCATAAGCAACATGCTTGGACATCGACGTCATCAGACCAGGACTAGACGAACTACTTTTCGTGCACCCCAAAATGCCGCCCTTGTCAGAGTGCCGCCCCTTCCTTCCGACTGAGTGCCGCCCCTCAGCTATGAAGTGCCGCTCTCTGAAGCACGTGCCGCCCCTCGGCTGAGCTGGCGCCGCCTGTCTAAGCAAGTATGACCAGCTTTTTTCGCGCGTAGATGCCCCTGGCGGCTGGCAACATGTTGCCCTGTGGAATATTAAGTTATTCTGCCGCCCTACTAGTTGTTATAAATCGACCCCCAAATATATCATTGCACCTCGGAAGGAATGATACCGAGTTTTGAAACAATTTTGCCGCTCTCGAATCATTCTATATCGCCCTCAATAGACAATAGACATGGCACCTCCATTCGAAGGTACGCATTCAAAAGTATCTTGTCACTATGGTAGTAGAGATGCCGGCCTGAGGAAATATTTAACGAAACATAAATGTGGCATGTGTCGTATGTAGCGAGTTTTGGTTCGCATGTCTCCGTCCCCTCACTCACAGGACTGTGGGCCATGTATTCACAGACCAAAAAGTGGTCACTCTATTTCTCAACGAGCACAATATTCTGCTGATTCCGCTGGTTTTAAATATATGCCACTTGCACCAGGAACTGCATACACAATTTATATACATTTGTAGAAAATAAAAGTAAATAAGTAAAACTTGTTCTGCAAATGATATAATACTTTTCAACAAACACATTCCAGTGGAAGCTTGAATTTATTTAATCCTTGATATAAAATTGAAAGCCTAACTTTTATTTAATTTTAATTTATTTTATTTATATCTTTTATTTTATTTTAATCAATTTACCAAATCAAGTGGACGAAATCCGAGGAGAAACAAATTTGGAGGGGTAGGTTGGTGCCGCCCACCTGGGCAAAAACTGCGCCCCCTAGTGCTGTGCCCCCTCCGAAATATTTTTCTGGTTGCGCGCCTGATTTCCTGACGAGTGACGCATGACATTTATAGATATACATACGTGCAAGGCTTATGCATACGATAAAGCATATGAAATATGGTGGGTGAAACATTGACCCGACTGCAGGACACGATGAACCTTGATGCTCTCAGCTCTTGCCCAAATATATGTGTCCAGTGATAGTGAGACGACATCACTTATACATCTTAACTTACGGGGAGCGATACATCTTATCTTACGATGAGCGAAGAGTCAGACCGAAGGATCAGGGCCTCCCAAATCCTGCTTACCGAAGGAGGGTACTCGGTCCTATGCATTGCTCTTTACTGATGTTTTTATTTCATTTTACTAGAGTTATCACGGTCAACACGACCGGCAACGGCGAAGCTGAAACTCTAAAGGCGTTGTTGCCGTTGTTTGTCTAGCAATGTCCGATCATTGTTATGCGATTACAGGCTAATAGTAGAGATGTCAATCGGATACCAACTTTTTGGTATACCGATACCAAACCGATACCAACTTGGTATTTGGTATTTCAATCCTAATAAGTTTGGTATTTTGTTGTTTTCATGAACCCTCATTGATGTATAAGAAGCTAAGAAATTGGTAAAAAATTGGTATTTCCCTCATGTTCTTTAGTTGGTTTGGTTTCGGTATTTCTCCACGGTTTTGGTTGGTATTTGGTTTGGTATCGGCATTTCGATTTTCTGTAACTGACATCACTAGCTAATAGGGCTCCGGCTGCATTATTTATGATAGGTACGCTGTTGAGTCATTCTGATCGATAGATCCAATTTCATTTATCGGCTTTTTAACGATGGCTTAACGCCATTCCAAGTCTTTCATTGGGTGAGCAGACATGGAACTCAGCGATGTTGTGTTGTTGGTAACCGTAATCCGTCAGAGTTTCTGATGCAAACTGACGAACTATTTCCCTAGCTCTGGCACAGCTACTTTTTTATCGACATAGATCGACTGAAGTTTGAGGGTTGTTTCATCATCCATTCGACACCGTCGTACACGGTATTGAAGGCATGTTTATCGAGCGCTGATGGACGATGGCTACTGAATTGGAGCTGGATGAACAAAAAGTGATATTAATCGCAACGTTTTCCACATCTCCTCAAGGCTCAATACCACCCCGCATGAATGGCCTGCTATGCTGTATAGTTGGTTCAGTTTAGCCAGTATCGAGCCCTGGCGTCCCAAGGCCACAGCGATCCTTGGTGATGGTCTGACTGGCCGTTCATGAAACTGAATAGGAACTAAGTTGTTCAGAGCTTCTAACCATACAAACATCACGAATGAAGCGTTCGGCGGCGCTGACCACCCCGGCGAACTTTGGTACAATTCAGTCTGTTCTTCGCACGACATCGAGCCACACGCTCAGCTTCTCGGCTGAACATGTCGGCATTTCGCATTTCTGTAATATCCAGCCAACAGTTGATGACAGCAGAGAGTTTCACGCCAGAAGTTGACGAAGACTCGACTCCCAGCCAGCAGCCGTCAGGCCACCAACTTTCTGACCAGCGTCGTGATGGGTCGCCGACCCGTAGGGCTCCGCGCCGATCGTCTGCTCCACCTCCAAACACAGCCCGCGCCGAAGCTCTGAAGACATCAAAGGTCTCGCACGTCAGGCCGCGGGGGTCGGCGCTGCGGCGTGCGGTGGAGCTGGCGAGGGCCGCTCAGGTCGCCGGCGCTCTCTCGCGTCACCCACTGCGCCGGCTGCTGCTGCTGCTCCGCCTGGGAATCACTATGAGTTGTCTGATCCTGACCGGCTACCAGTCTCTCGAGCTGCTGAACCAGTTCTGGACCGAGCCGACTGCCACGGCGTTCTCGCGGCTGCCGGCCGACCGGATGCCGATGCCGTCAGTGACTGTGTGTCCGAACGGCCGCGGTCTAGAGTTCCGTGAGATGCCGCTGAACGAGAGCAGTATGTCCGAGTGGCTGTGGAACCACACGGTCTCCCTGCGCGAGATGGTGGTCCGCTGCGCCCACGACTGCTCCCCAGGTCCGGCCGGACCGCTCGGACTCGCGGACCGGACGGCCGACTCACCGACCGGCGCGTGGCACTCCTGGGCCGTGGACCGCGCCTACAGCACGTGCCACACGTTCACGCCCAACATCAGCATGATAGATCTGTTAGATGTTCAGCGAAAGCAAAGATTCAATCCCATCGAGGCCGCCGAGTGGGATCTGTTTCAGCTTGAAATCCGCATGAAGCCTTCCGGTGACATGTCGAGGATCAGTGCCAGCATATTCTTCCACCGAGCCAACGAGGCGCAGGTGACCAACCCTGGTTTTCTCAGCTTTGAGCCGAGCCCGCGCATCTACCTGGAGCCGGCTGACATCGTCACAGTTCGTCTGCGCTCCGAGCTGACCCAGCGTGAGTCGCTGTACCGCGCCCCGTGCCTCGACCAGGCCGGCTACGACCGCAGTCTGTGCCTGACCCGCTGTCTGTACGACACCCGCGCCGCCCGCTACGGCTGCCGCTCTCCTCAGATGATCGACTCGCACCCTCACCTGCCAGAGTGCCGGCGTCCCGAGGCACTCGAGATGACCCTCACTTTGACTGAGGAAGCCGAGTGTGGGTGCCCACGCGCCTGCCGCGAGCATGTCTTCATCGCTACAGTCAGCGACCGCCAGTACATGGCGCCGCACGAGACCAGCGACATCGGGTACATCCTGGTGCTGGCCGGCCGGCAGCCGCACATGGAGACCACCGAGAGCGCTGCCTACCGCCTGGTCAACCTGCTGAGCGAGGTCGGTGGCTACGTGGGCCTGCTGGTCGGCGTGTCGGTCATGTCGCTGCTGCAGCTGGTGATCGACCTGGCCGAGCGGCTGCACGACTGGTGCCGCCGCGACCGCGTCCTGCCGCTGACCGTGGGATGAGCGGAGCTGAACGGAGCTGAACATCGACGGCTGAGCTGAGCTGACAGCCAGCTGAGATCAGCTCACAGTGCTGGTCCATGGCAGAGCGGAAATGGCAATCGGCTGAGCCGTACGATGCAGAATCGTTAGAAAGAGAAGTTGCACGAAGCAGCCAGTCGATGTGTCTTATTGGTGTCGAGGTATGTTTAATGCACCTGCATATTAGCCCGGCACCGCCTGGGCTATTTCCGTACCCACGACAGCCTGGGGGGGGGGGGGTCGGATCCGACCCCCCCCCCTGTTATCTCGAGAACCAATGGTCGCATCGAGCCCCGCGAGGCGGCGTTCGAAAGGTCTCTACGAGACCTTCCCAAAGCACTCTTAAGATTTTAAGATTGAGGTCAACTTTCGGGTCAAGGTCAGGTCAAAGGTCAAATTCTGGGGTTTTGCATGATTAGGCTTACGGACAGCGGAATCGATAGCTGCTGCTCAAAACTCACCAAAAATGACCTCAAAAGGCCTAGTGAAGGTACCGTGTGCGTATAGGGGTCATACTAAGTACGGGTCAAGGTCAGGTCAGGTCACGAAAGGTCACGGTTTTCACTTTCTGCTACATGGGCGTGCGACACATGTTTTATGGCTTATTTTTCACGCCGAATCCGATGGTAATGGTTATATGTGACCCCAAGTCACTGTGCTGGTGATAAGTGTGCATTGAAAGCATAAAAATCGTTTATACCATACATAACTAAACGAGGGCTGAGAAAAAAGGTCAATTTTTCAACTTTTTATTTTTGACATAAAAATGCATTTTTCTAGACGAACTTTGTCCCAGGAATCTAGTGGTGCCATTTGTTTTCACATGCGATGTTTAGAAGTGCCTCTAATTCACGAAAATGCTTATGACGTCACAATGCTCTATGCATGTTGGAGCTATTTTTTACAATTTAGGGGTCCAAAATCAAGATAGAAAGTTGAAATTTGGGACATCTAATGTTCTAATAGAGCTCTATAACATATATTCCGGTTTTTCGGAAATTCTCAAAATTTTGGATTTTATTAGCTGTTTTCCAAAAAAATGTAGTTTTTTGAATTTTTAGGGGTGAAAACGCATTTTATGGAAAATCCGAGATAGCCATTTTAAATAACTCGTTGAGCTGCGTCTATTCATGTCCTTAATTTGCAATTTGCTTTAAACCCTGATTTTTGGCGATTTTTTAAACATTTACCACTTTTTGACTAAAAACGCCATGTAGTTACATCACTAAAATCGATGTATCTCAAATATTTTTGAAAATTTTTTCTTAAAAATTGCACAAAAGACGTCAAATCGATGGGGGAGAAGATATGCCAAGTTTCAAGTTGATAGTGTAAGCGGTTCTTGAGTTATTCAAGAAAAACGGAGGGGGGGTCAGATCCGACCCCCCCCCCCCCCAGGCGGTCGCGGGTTTTAAACTCCTTTCCGCTGCCGGTCGAGCGTCTTACTTGCTACTATAAGCAGCGACGTAAATCACAAACAGTTTGTGACAAAAGATGACTGATGTGTTACACAGAACTATAAAGTGACGCAGCGTGATAAATAAAAGTTTTATTGTGGCTACTGTTTTGCAGCCTTATGATATGCGTAAGTTGTCAATTTAAAATCACGTGTGCTAAGAGGCATGTGTGCAGCTGTGATAGTGAGCTCTCAGCACGCACACACTATAATCTGTCAAAATAAAGCTCTCGATCATTCAATTTGCATGAAAAATACACCTCCAAAACATGAGCTCCCGCCAGCAAGAAGGTAATCAGTACCTTAAGGTGCATTATATAACGTCATGCAAATAAAACATGCGTCTTCTCGCTATCACGTAGTTTGTTATGTAAGATAATCGAAATACCCTTCCGGAGCATGCATTTGCTTTGTTTCTTTTCTGGAACATGGTCGGACTCGGATGACGAGTCACTCCCTAGTTACAGCCACACCTATACTCACATCGTCAGTTGTTTGTGCCTACCGACCTGTAATCCGGCGTTTGTAACGGTACGTCTGCGTGAGGCCAGTCGCTCCACCCCATCAGCCTTTTTAGCTCTGTTACTTCCTGTCAGAACGAGGAACGTGCTGGTTGGAACGACTTGGAAAACACGAAGAAGTGAGCGATTCTGTGGCAGGTACTGGTAAACCCAATAACAGAGTCCGGTACGATTTGAATTATATATTCTGAAGGACAGTGATGGACGGAATGGATGAGGGGTGCATTTCTGTAGGACAGACTGTAGCGCGGACGGTGAGGGATGGTGTCAGGCCAAGGTTAGCGTCCGCCCCCGTCGGCTATTGTTGGCTCACGTTCGTCACACCAACTGACCGCCAATGTCACGGCCTGACACACACGGCGAGTGACCACCGGTGTCAGGGGGCGACACGGTCCGGCGAGCCGGCCGCCGCGCCGGTCTCCCGCACTTGACCCCGAGCCGCCCCTGTCGACCTAGCCCGCCCCCGCCCCCGACCTAGCTCCGCCCTCCCGCGCCGTTTCCGCTGACGCCTCTACACCGTCCCCGCGTTTGGATTGATGGGAGACTGGTGACGCTACATTGACGTCATCCTGCACCGATGAGGGGTCGTCGGCTCGACCTGTGTGACCCCTCCCGGGCCGCGACCGCTGTTCCACACCGTTGGAGCCTTTTGTCGCAAAGCTGGAACGCTTTGTACGGTGTGTAATATCCCGGTTATGGGCTGACGGAAAACCGGCGTCGAAGCGGGCCATGAAAAGCGAGATGCGTCAGCGTGTGTCGGCGCAAAGCATTACTAGTTATAGCCCGCGGCGACAGTGTTCCCCGCTATGAATGCTAATTACGGTGACCCAGTATGTTTCCATGTGTGATAGCAGTGCTGTTGGCCGTTGGGCGTATGTTCTGGGCAGCGGAATACGGGGTCATGCTTTGACATGGTCCTACATCGCATCTCTGAACAATATATTTATGTTGTTTAAAAATAATATGCACAATGTTTCTATAGCGGCTTCAATTACACAATGTTGTTTTATGGTTACATATGTAAGACGTTTTTCAAAGCAAAAACGAGTCGCATTTGTAGCGTCGTGTTTATTAAGCATACTCAAATTTCATATCGCCCGATAATAAGGGAATTAATCGGCAGCCGCAAGTTTGTGTTCAGTAGCTGAAACGCTATTCATTAAAATTGTGCCTTTTTAATCAAGCAAACCTGGGTTGTCGGGAAGGCAAGAAAGACTGAAATATTTCCGGTGCTACAGCAAAATAGAGCATGTTTTGCTCATACGCAACGGAAGCTTCAAAGAGCGTCACTGGCCCAAACAGTAGCCTTGGTGGCGGCGGTGGGGCGGAGTTTTGCTACGGATAGGGCCACTGGTGTGTGACAGCGCGAGACGTGCAGTGGCGCTGGCGTGACGATGAGTGACGCAGGCAGCGTGACGACGAGTGGCGCAGCCGACGCCGTCCGTGGCCGCTGAATGGGCTCCTTAAACGCCGCAGATCCGCGCTGCCAACCCGAGCGTCTCTGGAAACGCCTCTCTGCGGAACCGATGGGCAATTTTAGCCTGTATGGCCCGGCTCTTTTATGTCGATGCAAGCAGTTTGCGGAAGTCCACACCGCGAATTGTGCTATGGTTACTGCGTAGTTCAAGGCGTAGGTCATGGTTTTACGTGTTGCTGGACACTTAGGAATATGACAGCTTATTTCCGCTTGCTTGAATCTTATGTGTGTTATTTAGGCACGTGTGTCATGAAAGTGTGATTTGCATCGCTAGCTGAAATGGGAAAGGAATTTATGACTATCGTATGACGTGATTTGCAAAACAGATAGGTTTATAAAGAAATAACGATGAGATTTCTTTACTGTCTTTTGAAGTTACTGAAGAAAGCTTAAATATCGGTGATTAAATTGAAACAAATTTGACGTCTATTTTGCACAAACGGTAAAAAAGTCATTTGGCCTTCGGAATCACGCGTTTTTATCACTCTTCATCCGGTTTCCTCCAGTCAACAACAGCAGCAACTCTACGTTACAAACACCACTTCCGCCAACACGGCTGGCCACCTCCCCCACCCCGCCATGGCCCTGACAACATTCCTGCACATCGCAGCCGTCAAAAAATGTATCGGCGGTCGGCGATCACAAGCGGCACGTAGCCACCCCGCCGACCGGCCGGCGCGTGTGTGCTGTGTGGCGCTACATAAACAGCACAGGCTGCCGGCAGACCGGTAACTCTCTGCTGCCTCCGCCGCCAGCATGATCTCTCCGTCTGTGATCTCTGCCGTTCTTCTGGTGGCGGTGCTCAGCGCCGGAGCGGCCGCCGCGCCCGCCAGTGCCAACACGAGCGTCCCCACCCGCCCGCGGGGGCCCGTCGGTCGCGCCGGGCCGCCACGGAGGACCCGCTCCTGTGACCCGGCCATAGTCCTGTGCGTGGAGACCGAAGCCGACGCGGGCTACTCGCCCGGTTACCAGCAGCCGCGGTTCTACTCGGTGGGCAGGGTGCCCTACGTGCCGGTGGTCCCGGCGGCGCCGCCCGTGCCGCGGTTCCGCCTGCTGCCGCCACCGGTCCCGGTGAGGCCGGTCCTCCCTCCGCCCGTGGTGGCCGTCATCCCGCCGCCGCCCGTCATCCCGCCACCGGCTGACGTACGCGTCATCGAGCCCTCGGTGCGGCTGGTGCCGCTGCCGCCGTTCGAGCCACCGCGGGCCGTCCCGGTCCTCCCTCAGCAGATCGTCTCTGTGATTCGACAGCCGACAGTTTCCGTGATCCGACAGCCGACAGTCTCTGTGGTCCGACAGCCGTATGTCCCACGAACGCGACTCTTCCCAACGTACCCAGACACGTGAGTACGCACTCTTGAGTCCTTAAGCTGACCTTAGGTGAAGTGAAATGAAGGACTTTGTAGGGATTATAGATGATCGAAGCATGATGAGATGATGGTAAAAACAATGCCAAATGATAATGCAGAAAAACTGCTGCCGTTTCTGCACGAAAGTCTATTTTGATGGTTTCTGCTACCTATGAGGTAAAATCGTTGATATGTATAATGGCATTGTAGCGAAAGGATTATAAACTAAAGACCTATATGGGATGCTCGTTTTCTTTCTATAAAATTGCACGCCGATTTGTAAAAAAAGGTCGAAATCGACATCAATTGATCTTTGATGGCCTCTGGTAGCCTGACCGGTTGACTGACTTAAAGATAACCTGCATTATTTTTTAAACAATTTTGACACTTTTTCAAACACCACTTTCTTGTCGTGACGTGACATAGCGGCCGAGTTAACGGCTCAAACATCCTTCCCCAAAAGAGCGCGGAAATGCGAGAGTTCCAGTTGGTTTATTCACCGGCGATTGTGCTTTTATCTGTTACCGATTTCTTATTATCCAGAACCGATTAACTTGTGAACTTATTTGCTTGTTTATACAGTCATGGTGATAGGCCCACATACAATATGTAAGGCGAATCTTTTAACCCACGAGCCGCTGGGGGGGGCATAAAGTTGCCCCCCCCCTTTACGTTTTGTGGAATATCTCCGAAACCTGATAAGCTACGAACGTGAAACTTGGCATAGCTTCAAATGAATACCTAGGCAATGTTTGGAGAAAGTTTGGTGGCTGTAGCACCAAAGATGACGTCACAGTGACGTCATAAAGTTTTGTCGTTTTCCGATATGGACCGTTTCTGATGACGCTGAGCATGAAACTCAACTGCAAATGAACTAGACAGCACCTGCTGTCATCCTAAAACATCTAAGCACACTTCCATCTAGTTCCTGACCAATAATCGGCTCTTTATATTCGGTCCCATACATCTGATGTATCGTGAGGAAACTGAGAGTCGCAAATCTATAATTTGGCTTATGACGTCACTGTGACGTCATTTCAAATGGGATCGACACCAAATTTGGACACAACCTCGGCTAGGTATTCAGAAAGACGTGTGCAAAGTTTCGCTTCTCTATCTCTTCGCGTTGCGACGATATCGTCGCGGAAGTAAAGGGGGGGCAACTATATGCCCCCCCCCCCCCCCCCAGCGGCCGGCGGGTGGCGCGGAGGCCCAGCGGCCGCCGGGTTAAATGTTGCGCAACTGCAGCTTCATTACCGGTGTTTGGCCTTGGACCCTGTCTTCCCCAGGCACCTGAATGCAGTTGGTCCTTAACTGCCTGTTTCCTCTCTGTGATGCACGCCACATTTACGACGCTTTTGTTTTCAAACTGCTTTCATTTATGCTGCCGTTTAGAATAAGGCGTCTTTGTGATTTTTCCGCTTCAAGAAATACAACGTTATTGAAATAGTGCAATTAGTGAGACAACGAACTTATAAATGCATTGTTTACTAATACAGATGCATAAAAAGCGTGTTCTTTGCATCATTTAGGCTTATATGTAGTTTTTGCTAATAGTACTTTTAACCTGCTTTTGATGTTTCTTTTCTTTAGTTTGAGAGAAAAATTCAGCCCCGAACCCACCCCGAGATTCCGAGTTTCAATGAAAACGTCTAATCCCGCTGGCAAACCCGCGCGGTGTTTAGACGTCTCAATTGGGACGACTAGTGGAATGACTTCCGTTCGTTCGTTCTACCAGCAGGGATAGTTTAGAAACTCTCCCTCCACAATCTATACGGCCTCCAACGTCAATTGATCTCCCGCCGTATAGGTCAATCTATACGGTCACTCGAAGAAGAGAGTTGGACGGACATGCGCTCCTTCTACCAGTCGGGACAGTTTAGAACTCTCCTTGGTTCATGATCTCTATACCGTTGATTAGAGAGGATGAACCATAATTATATGGTTCATCTAACTCGCGTTCTCTCCCGCTGACAGACGGGTGCAGGCGCCCAGTCGTCCGGACATCCGCTCCTTTTACCAGTCAGGATAATAACAACTCTCCCTGGTTTACAGTGGGATTCTCTAACCATAACGATCTCTCCCGCTGACAGACGGGTGCAGGCGCCCAGTCGTCCGGACATCCGCTCCTTCTACCAGTCGGGACAGTTACACAATTCTTAAGAATAGTGATTGACTTAATTGAAAAGTCCCAACCTTCGGATACAGCTCCCCTTGGTTTACGGTGGGGTTCTCTAACTACATAACGTCCTCTCCGACTGGCAGACGGGTGCAGGCGCCCAGTCGGCCGGACATCCGCTCGTTCTACCAGTCGGCCGTGCAGGTGGGAGAAGGTGTGGTCCACCTGGGCGGCAGGACGGCCGAGCTCATCTGCGACTTCACCACCAACGGGCCCTACCCCAGCTCCGACATCCTCACCGTAAGCAACAATCGGTCTGATCTACGTCTTGGCTAGTGAATGGGTTTTGGAGAGTCAAATTCATACTGAACTACAAACCCATATCATAGTTCTTCGTCTTGTCTCGGTCTGAAATCTGTTTATCCGTAATAAGGTGACATATAATCGTAGAAGTGTGTTATCTAAGCTTTGCGTTTTTTTTAAACAGCTAATTGCGCTTTTGTACAGTAACTGTGGGACAAAGAACTATGTATGCAGAGGTCTATGTGTCGTATCAATAGATCAGTTCGAGAAGAACGTTTCCCTCGTATTTTATCGTTCCTGCGAACGTTCCCACGGCGTCCGCTGCTCACTGACCCCTGTGTCACACAGGACGTGGTGTGGCAGAGGCTGGGTAACGATGACGTCTACCTGAACACCCCGATGGCCTCGGGATCGGAGAACGTGCTGTACTGTCCCAGCGACTACGTCGTACCGCCCCCGGTCAACTACGACTTCAACGTCGTCGGCACCAGGTTAGGGGCGGGAAGAGTTTTCTGTCGGCGTCAGGTCAAGGGCGGGGGAAGGGGGGGCTCCTGTCGGCATGAGGCCAAAGGCGGGGAGGGGTTTCTATCAGTACCAGGTCAGAGGCGGAGAGGGGTTTCTGTCGGCACCAGATCAGAGGCGGGACGGGATTTATGTCGGAACCAGGTCATGGACGGGTGGGGTTTTTATGACTGTCGATGGTTGCCAAAAGGGCCGAACTAGATTTTCGCTAACGCTACAGTGGGCAATTTGGTTACCGAATTGTGATGTTGATTTTCATTCACCTACATCCTATACATCCTCCATGGGCAGGCATTGAGCTCCTTACAGCCAAAAAAGGCACCAGCTTTCAAAATAAAAATTTATTAGAAATATGTGTGCTATGTCGGTCTTGTGCAATATGCATATCTATCAACAGACTGTCACTACAATAATGCGGTTCTTTTTCTCGGCTTACCGCAGGACAAGCCTGGTGATTCAGAACTCCAGTTCACGAGACTACGGCACCTATCGGTGTTACGCCACCCGCGTCAACCGGCTGAATCCCGACGACCGGCATCCAGTCTACATGGAGATCCAGTTCGCTGCCAACTCGCCCCGTACTGGACTGGTGGGGTGAGGATCCGCCAGAGCGAGGGAACGTCCTTCCTTGACCAGGGAGTAGGCGTGCTTAGGTACTGCATGGTGTTCAGTGCGTGTTCGTGCGTTTGTAAAAGACATGGAAGAGTCGTGAGATATTTGGAGGGCACGATGGGATAGGGATAAGATTGTTACCAAAAGTGTCGATAGAAGCTGAAAATGCTCTCTTCTATCTCTAGTTAATACTACCGGCCAACAACTAGGCAGCGCTCGTCTTCCACTGGCACGGATAACTTTTGTATGTACCTTTGCTTCCTCCATGAACTGGGCAAGTGACGCTTGAATATGCTATCTGCGCTTGATGATATTTTGTTTGGTCTATGCGAATGCTACGTGCTTACTGCTTATATTCTCGCTTGTTCTTTTGTTTGAATGCTGCGATATAGCTCGGTGTTAAAGAAGTTGACATAACAAACTCATAGTTAGTCACATGCAGTTTGTATTCATAGTCATAATTGCTACATAAAAAAGCATGCGTAGCGTGCCCAAAAGGAAATCGATGACGCTTCCATAAACTGCACGCATGGAGATTCCGGTCTAATTCATCACATGACCCGGTTTGTCGTTTCGTCACTTTCTGCATGTTGCTTTTGTGCTATTTGGACATTTTTTGTGATAATACATAAGACGTCGCTTTAGCATTTTTTATTCATCTACTGCATTTATTCCTCTACCTCAGGCATCTCGTATGTTCTCACAGTCATCTGCGACTTTTTCGGAACACAAAACCGACGGCAGATATTTACAGCATTAATTGACCATCGAACACCGGTGACTGACCCAACATATCGATACCTCTCCGCCACTTTAAGGCAGCAGCAAAGGCACTCTTTAATGCCGCTATATAAAAGTACAAAGCTCCCCTCCTCCGTTTACAGCGAGGCTGATTGGTCTGTCCGCACAATTCAGTGGTCGTTCTGCTCTCCAAGCCTGCTGGAGAGCAGTGAACACTCGCTGAGGGCCGCATCCTCCGCCCCTAGGCCTCCTTCTTGTCTGACGACTCGGTCTTGGTCTTCGCCGCTTCATCTCCGTCAACCACGCGGTCCGGCTCGGTCTTGGAGAGAGCGCTGCGCCGGTACCCCCAGCCGCCCCAGCCGCTGCCCCAGCCGCTACCCCAGCCGCTGCCACTACCCCAGCTGCCACTGCTACCCCAGCTGCCGCTGCCCCAGTTGTCGCTACCGCGATAATCCACCTCCATGTAGACCATATCGCCTCGGCCGTAGCTGGACCATCCGCGCACCTGGGCGTAGCAGCGGTACCTGCCGGCGTCGTAGGGCCGCGGGTCGGAGAGGGTCAGCGTGCTGACGTCCCCGGATGTGGTGACCCAGCCGGCCACCACGCCGCTCGGGTAGTACCCGCCCGGGTAGTGACGGTCCACGTCCCGGTAGCTGCCGCCGCCACAGCCCCGGGAGCCGCTGCAGCCGCCATAGTAGCCCCCGCTGCCGCCGCCGCTGCTGCCGTAGTAACCGTCGTTGTTGCCGTAGTAGCCGCCGCCGCTGCCGTAGTAGTTGTCGCGCACCTTCTTCCAGACCACGTTCTGTAGAACGTGGAAAGATGTTATAATGACGAGGTTGTACTTAGCAGTACCTAGGAGTTAGGACGTATTTAGGCTCAATGCTTTTTGGACTTTGCCAGCAATGTCTGAAAACATTCCAAGATATCGGGCCTGTCTTTCCTTGTATGATTAAAAACATTGCAAAAATAACGAACATGATGCAGCAATATTTTGCAGGAAACAATCTAAGCTGCTAAGCAATGAAGTTCTTACATAATATATCATTTATTTGATATATTCATTATTCATTCTCACCTCAATCCTCTCGTCGTAGCCGAGCCGTCCGTCTCGTCGGAAGTCGCAGATGAGCTCGGCCCCTTCGTATCGTCCCCGGTAGCGCACCCGGCCGCGGCCCACGTAGCGGGCCCGCTCGTAGTAGCCACCGGTGCCGTAGTAGTCATTCTGTCGGAGCAGAGTGGGGTCAGCGTGACGGGCAGGGGTGGACTGGGTGGAGACGGGGTGGCGGAGCAGCGACAGGGTGAAACAATGCCGACACAAAATTGTAGGCACAATTTGTTTTATGTGCTAATTTAGTTTGTAAGCACATGCAACTCCATTTGAGATTTTAATATGAGCTGAAATGCAAAGTAAATCATAGAGTGTCGTATGGCGTGACGCTCATGCAGCAGCATGGTTTTCGACCATTACGAAGGGGTACTGCGCTTCGCTGCCGACAAGACTTCCAATGTCAACCTCGTTGAAGTGTGAAGCTAAAATTTGTCAAATCAGGGTGATATCCTAAGTTCTGCTTCAAAAACCGGGACCAGGAATGACGCAGTGTTGGTCGTTTCCTCCTCGCCGTTCCGCGCGCGACAGCGGCTCAGTGGCTCGGCCTCATGCTCGTGTCACGCGCAGACAGCCCCTGTCCTTGGACTGCGTGCAGTTCATGGCAGCAGCGCCGCTCGTGATCACGATTCGGCGCCGCGCCTCGGTTCAGGGGGTGGCCACAATACACCGCCGGGTCGATGGGCTCGGCTGGTCAGGGGCCAGTGCGATACTGCCGGGTGTGGCCAGCACTCAGGAACAGCACAAACAGACTGAGTGGGAGTGAGCACAGACAATGACCGCTGGACGACGGCCTGTCCGGCGCTACTCGGGGTTACCCAGTTCACTGACAGTGCGAGCTACTCTGAGTTTGTGGCAGCTGCATTTAGTGCATTGACAACCGTTCATGTGGCTGAACAATTGAACAGAGTCTGCACCGATCTGCAACCTTGTCAGCCGTACATTTTGACACAAGTATAACAGGATCAAAGCGATGCTCTATCAACAGTGTTTGTGGTTTCCTGGTCGCTAGTGTTGAAAGGAACGTTTAGATAACCACTCATTAGATACGCTAGGGTGACTTTAAAGGCTCTTCGTGTTTTCACACTCAATCGGCTTCTATCCGCTCGTCTATTAGCGTGCACGTGTATCCATTACGCAAAGCAATTTTAAATTACATGCTACTGATGGTGTTTTGGAAACACAAAGTGATTAAATAACTTCAACTGAATTTCTGTTTCATGACAGCCACGAACTCCTGTTTCAGGGTTCACTAAAAGCAAAAAATCTGCAAATACCTTTCCGGTTTCATCACAAAACTCCCTCGAGCTTCCAGGCTCAGAAGTTAGGTCTACCATCTGGCTTAGAACTCACCAAGCGGCTCAGAACTGACATCGTTTGGCTCAGAACTCTGATCGTCTGCTAATAACTCACCTTGTCTGCTCAGAACTCAACCCATCCCTCAGAACTGACCTGGTGACTGCTCTAAACACACCTCGTCAACTCAGAACTCACCTCGTCTTCTGGGAAGGAATTCGCCCAGCGGGATTTCAGAACTCACCTCATCTGCCCAGAACTCATCTCGTCTGCTCAGATATCATCTCGCCCCCTGAGAACTCACCCAGCGACTGCCGGTACCCCAGCTGGTGTCTCCGCAGCGGTAGAGGTAGCCCTGTCGGTCGCGACAGTAGCCGCCGCCGGTCCGTCCGGAGCCCCAGTCTCTGCCGTTGCCGCCCCAGGAGGCCTCTCCGCCGCCGAGCCAGTGGCCCACGGATAGGGAGAGCAGGGCGGTCGCCACCAGCATGGTCGCCAGCATCCTGACGGTCTGAAGGGGACGGCGCTGGCGCAGCGACTGACCCGACACGTCCCAGGCACGGACGGCACGGCACGCGAGACAATTACGCGGCGCACAATGTGATGCGCTAATATGCGGCTATACCGACGGCAGGCGGTGGCCTTGGTCAGGACGGGACGGGCCGGACGGGGCGGCACGTGCCGGTGTCAGCGCGGGTCAAACTGTCCGACAGCGCGGCGCTGGTTTGACAGGAGCGACGAGCGGATGCCGGGACGGGTGAGGTCGCTGATGACAGGTGTGTTCGGATGTAGAGGATGTCTCTAACTCGGCGCTGGGTTTGTGGAAGACTGGCTCGTTTCACTGCTCCTTGCAGGAGGATGGGAAGGTGCCTTCGTCGCGGCGGCGCAAACAATGAGTCCCTCCGGCAGCAGGCAGACTTTATCACGCATCCTGTGGCGGCGAGGTCATCGCGCTCGTGGCTCGCACAATACCCTATCCGGCGGCGTCGCTTCTTTACGCTACTCGCGCGGGCATCGGCACGGCACGCCCCAAGGCCACTCTCCTCCGACAGTCGTGAGTGCGGCCACCTGCCCCACCCGACCGGCCAAAAAACCGGACCAGCCCCCGCCACTACCTCTTTCATGGTACCCAGAGACCATGAACATTTTTGGCCGCCGGAGGCCATGCTGCAAGGGTCATGTTGCACGCTGTGACCGAAGCGCCCTTCATGACGGCCAGGTCATCTCCGTCTAGCGGTTTCATTGAAGAGTCTGAATGGCGGCGCGCGGTCCAGAAATGAGGCGTTAGCTCCGCCTCCTTCCTCCGGAACTCGTCATCAGCTCTCAGAGCGAGTTTCTGACATTTTCACGGCCAGCGATCTCACACAATGTGCTGTGCACTGCAGCGCTGGCATTAATCACGCTGGCTGCTGCGGCGCTGCCTTTATGATAACGACTGCAGAATTGTTGCAGATAAAAATAATTCAATGTCAGGATATTTTCTGCTAAAAGAAACTATAATACCTATTTACTTCCTAGTTAGATGAAGGTTGCCGAGGAGTAGGTAAATTGCGATTCAAGGTGGAAGATAGCTTGGTGGAATGTGGCTGGTAGGTATTGTTTACAAATAGGATGATGTAGGTAAGGTAATTGCATTATTTTAAAATCAGTGACCTGTTTTGACCTGACCTTGACCTTAAAAATCCTTTTTTATGATTTTAGCGCCAGAGCTCAAAGTGTGAATACATGCTTCATTTGACCTTTGACCCTACATTGACAGGTCATGTGACCTCAAATTCCAAATTTCAGGATTGCATCTGATGCGTCTCGGTGAGGCCTTACCAACGCCGCCTCTCGCGTCCCGCTACGGTGCTTCTTTTTGAAGATAACATGGTGGGCGTTAAGCGCCCCCCCCCCCTGCTCAGCCAATAATGGCGTTCGGCTTTAGGCTCAGTCAAGCGCGGGTTAAAGGTAGTGTGCCACCTTTGAAAGATTTCCCGTTTTATTTTTCCTAGGATAAGAAGCTTCTGTTTTTACCTAATATCGCAAAAAAAAATCAAAAATGGGCCTGGAATAGTGCCTTTTTCGCCTAAAAGTTTATCGGTTTTTAGATATGTATAACAACTGTAGTGGGCTCACCTGCAAACAGGCGTCGGGCAACAATCGCGAATGCGGCGCACTTGTGACAATAAGCAAAGGTCATTATAGTGTTACGACCATACGACGTACGGGAATGAGTTATCAGCTGTCTAATCGTAGACAACACAATGTCGAGCCTTAAACTGTAAGCCTGTATTGGTATTGTTTCTTAAATTTGGCTGTCGAACATTAATTTGTGGTTTGAAATATGATTTTATGTAAAATAATTGATATGAAACAGCCGTCTCTTAAGTTATGACCCCATTACACCACACGCAAGTGGCAGAAATGACAATGATCAGCTGACGCATTTTTCTTGGCCGAAGTCAGAGCGCGCGGCCCGACGCACCACGCGTATTTGGAAATTCCGACCTCGACGAGCATCAGAAGCCACCTAACAGGCGTGTTCGAAACCGCAGGAGATGATGATGAACGGGTTTATCGAAACTTGATTGGATGAGCCTATCGGTAATAGCGATTTTAGTGTGTGCATTTATTGTTCATAGTGGTGTGAAATGTGGTTGGGGTACGACCGACAACCCGTCTGGGCGAATTTCGCACTGGGGTACTCAAAATTTGAAGAATTTAAGACGTTTCCATAAGTTTTGAAGGTATGGATAAGTTCTAAAAATCCGGTTCTCCTTATCCGGGTCATTAACTCCATATGGTCCAAGAAAGCTGGCACACTACCTTTAAGACTCGCATCTCCGGTGGCATAACCCACCCAGCCGCTCAAACGGCTACCGAAACACGCTCCTATATATCTCGAAGCTGCCCTCGACACGGTTACCCGGATGTCGAAAGCGTCAGCCCGGATCAATAGAGTGTGATCAAGGATGAGGATTACGTATAGGCCCTGGAGATTAGTGGGCCGGATATCACTTAGTACCGGTCATTAGCAGCAGTCATTAATTGTAGCATACATAGGTATCGTAGCATTAATAGGCATTCATGTTCTACATTTCGACAGTTCCCAGCAAGAACATCCGAAGTGTCAAATTTTTCGAAATTGAGATTTTTATACGATGTTCTTGCTGGGAACTGTCGATGTAACTATTACTTCGCTAACATGTCTCGTCGTCTATGAGGCTCCACTGGCACGTTCCCTGTCGCCACCGCGCCGGTCCGTTAGGTCCTGCTCGATCGCCCGCGGTGCTATCGACCTCCAGGCGGGTGTGGGTCAGAGTGCAGAGGTCACAGCGCTGACACCGCCCGTCACTGTGTCGGTCCTTGTCGGCCGGGGCCGCTGGTGCCGGGGGGGGGGCACACCGCAGTGCAGTGGATGGAGAGACGACATTGACCGTTCAATGACGTGTAGCGGAGCTGCTAGTTACTGTTAGTAACTGTGTAGAACAGTCGCTGCCCTGGGTGGAGTGCATGAGTGCGATTGGACTGGATATTACAGATGGCGTAATATGGCTTCACACAACCGGTTAATGGATGAATGGAGTGATCTGAATCCGAATGGGTTCCTAACTTCCTATCGGGTCCCTGTCGGATCCCACGTATGCCTATACTGATTGGACTTGGACCAGCAAACCATAACTTATTATTTGTACCTATCAAGTTTTCGCATACGAGTAGCTGGCCATCGTCTAACTTCTACGAGCAGCGACATTTATCTACCATCCCTAAACTCTTGTCTGATGCTCTCAGTAGAAACGGGCGTCGAGGATAAGTAAACGCATTGAAACGGCATTGCTTACGGAGAAGAGCGCATCACATAAATTAACTAGTTACCGTCTCACCAACTGAGAAGCTAAAGCTGAGAAAATATGATGTGACACTTATGATAAGAGTATGTATGACCCTGTTTTTCTGATAACTGATTATCGTACCTGAGGGACCTTTGAGCTTGTTCAAATTGATCGTGTATTAAGTTATTTAGTTATTTTCTTAAGGCTTTCAAAGAGTGCCTTTAATATGTTTATAAAATCTCTTTGATTATTACACATAATCTACCACCCGATGAGACAATTTTTTTAGATATCAGTATATTTAGCCACTCGCAATTCCTTTGCTATGAAGTATGGGCTAACTCAGACCAGACAGACTCCTCGTAATAGCTGTGAACCTGCCGTTGTCACGTAATGTGATCTCGAGTTGTTTGCGTGACTCGCCCCCTCCCCTCAGCACGCGAGGACTAACAATGACGCCGCCTCACTTTTGAAAGTGACTGAGAAAACAAAGGTGAGGCGTTCCTGCTGAAATGTTGTGGAACTCCGTATCAGCGAAGGCCGTCTTCTGAAGGTCATCATCACTCACTATAGTCTGAGATAGGCATCCCTTGTGGGCGCCTACGCGAGGCTAATGTGATACTGTTGTCTAGGAGCATGCGCAACGATGCATATACCTACATCCACGCATATGTGGATGGCTCTACACTTCTACATGCCCATGTCGATGCATAAATGAACGCTAGGCTGTACAGTCAGTCTTGAAAGTACCGTACATTGGTGCAGTGGATCCATCAAGCCCGATCGGGGAAGGGTGCTAAATTTGAGAGTCACCGAGCCAATTGACATCCTCATCCATCCTCCAGGTCAATTGGTTCGGTGACTCTCAAATTTAACAGCCCTTCCTCGGTCGGGCTTGATGGATCCACCGCAACGATGCGCGGTACTTCGAAGACTGACTATACATTACATATTTTAGCATTTACTAGCACTTAAGTACATTTAGTGTGTACCTTAACCTTTATGGTATATGCGCGGGTATGTGACATGAACTGGTTGACGGACGATGCGTGATTTACCCAGTGTAAGAATCGTGACAAAAGACTATACAAGTGGCTGTGGCAAATAGGGCTCTTAACCCTATTAGTGGCAGGGGGGTTGTTTTTATCCACCCCTCAGGTTTTTCGGGAATATCTCCGAAACCGCTGAAGCTACGATGCTGAAATTTTCTGACTTTTCCTAAAACTAAATTGGGCACATTCCCTGAAAATTTCAAGTTCATAACTTTACCAGGGGCGGCTCCAGAGCACTGGGAATTGGGGGTCCTATTCGTGAAGCGAGTCATTTGGGCGAAGATCACGATGCTGCACCAGTTTTACGAACAGTGAATGAAAGGTATCATGTGATAACATATACAAAGTTATTGTGCATCCTCTTTTGACACGTTTTTGCTATAATAGGCGGATCCAGGCGTCCAAAAAGGGGGGGTTATTTTTTACCTCCCAACATAGGTGCCCTGACACCGCCTATGCATGACCAATACAATTTTAGTCGTTCTCTCATAAGAAAATTGTAACATAACAAGACCATTGCCACCCTTTTTAGAAACAGTACCAACAAAAACCTTATTTACTATACTTTTTGTGTACCCCCAATCTCAATGATCTGTATCCGCCTATGATTTTTGAAAATGCATATTTTTAGGATCCATGTGAATTTCTGGTTCATTCTCTATCGCTCGGCAAAAGTTGTGTTAAGATTGGTTCAGAAACCTGGCCGTGATAAACAGTACCTGCAATTTGCCCGTTTTTACCCCCCTCTACCCCCTATTGACTTTTTTAATTTTTTTTTTAGAAATGTAGATCTTGTTGAGCCAAATCGAATGCCGTTTGAATTTTGAAAATCGGCCGGTTAGATCTCGAGATATCAAGGGGGGGTCGTAAACAGCCCCCCCCCCTGCCACTAATATGGGGTAGCCAGGAGCCTGCCACTAATAGGGTTAATAGCCATTTTGCGAGGGGCTATGCGGTAATTGTTCTGTTCCAAATTGGTTAAATTTGGTCAGCTCATGTTCCAATGGA